CTGCCCACTTCCTTGACGTGACAAACCAGCTCTGGCTCAAACATTTTTTAACCCCTCTCAGCTCTTCCCTCTGGCATTGTGTCCTGCTGTTTTTGCTGCTAAGGTCTGTTTGCACAGAGGCCAGCCTTCTTGGATAGGGTCCTGGTAAGGGCTACTCTCTGTTGTCATAGTTGTACCATGGGAGACTCTGGCATCTTTGTCAGGGCAAAGAAGGACATACAAATTGTTGCACAACTCTTTTCTTTGCTCTGCTCTCTCCCCACAATTTCCTTTTTTCTCTGCTCCACCAGAAGCATGAGCAAAGAAGTCCACTGCCTAAGCACATGACCAATTAGGAGGTGTTATTCTCTCCAGCAGGCACCCTCAGTTGATGGTGATGGTACACATGGAGCCCTCCTCATTTACCAGGAGTGTGGAGTGTGAGCAGACCCCACTTACCACCTCTTGGGCAGCCAGGGAAAAGTCATTCTTCACTAGGTCAGAAACTTGGAGTTCGAAGGGTCCTGCTTCCTCTTCCTCCTGTCTTCTGCTTACATGGAGTGGAGAGAGTGAGGATGAAACTGCATACTATTTTTTGCTTTCAGGTGAACAACAGGAAAAATCCCATTCATTATGTAGTATGTCTATTATATACATATACACATAAAATCAGAACATATATAAATGAAATTTAAAAATAGTCTGAGACTGCTAGCCTTTCATTGAGTAAACTTTTCAGTCAGTCCATATGCTTATTACTATGTGAACTTCCCTGCTATTCAGCCTCAGCTGCCTCAAATGACTTCTTGGTGAAGATAGAAAGGATCACAGCCCCTAACTTGCAGTAGCAATTCATGTGAATGTGACTAGTGCAAAGTTAGTGCTAAGTAAATCCCTTTTAAATCATGGCAAACATAAATTTATCTCACTCTGTTTCTAGATATCTTATTGTATGGCATCTAGAAAGGAAAAGCTTTTTAAAGTAATTGCTGATGGCAACAAAGCCAAAATAAAGAATTTGACTCCGGGTGTGGACTACGTGTTTCACGTGAAGACACTTAGAGGCAAAGATTACAGTGTGCCTGTAATGAAAAAAGTGTCTACAAGTAAGGACATATCATAAATGAATTCTTTGCTTTATAATTTCATAAGAATTGAAAGTATTTTGATTCAGCATAAAGCTATATTTTAAAACACAAAGTCTGATAATAAAGGAAAAATGATGATTATAAAAATATTATTAAGAGAACTCTCAAAACATATATGAACTTAAAAAATTGTGTATGTCTAAATGTATTGGGAGCTATTATTGGGTTGTTGGAAAAGTCATACCGTATTTTTTCTACATTTTTCATTGCAAAAATGCTTCATGACTTTCCTGACAACCCAATACATAGAGTGTTTTTTTTAATCTGAAGCCAACATGTATATATATCTATATGTATATACATATCATGTGTGTCACATATATGGACTATGTGTATATGTGGATATGTATGTATATAATGTGATCAAAAAATTCAATGAATGATTAAATTAAAATATACATTACAGTAAAAGGCACATTGCCACTAATCCCCCTCAGGATACTCCCACTCACTTCAAACACACTTATCTCATCATTCTTGACACTTTCTGAAGCAGTTCTGGAAGTCCTCTTTTGTGAGTGTCTTAGTTGCGCTGTTGTGGCTGCCTCGATGTCCTGAATTGATTCAAAATGTTTACCTTTCATGGTCATTTTGACTTTGGGGAAGAGCCAGAAGTCGCACAGTGCCAGATCTGGTGAATAAGGTGGATGAGCACACACCGTAATGTTTTTATTTGAGAAATTGCCATATACCAGAAGCGATGTGTGACATGGAGTGTTGTCATGATGGAGGGTGATTTACGGCACACTTTAAAACACACCTTCTCTCAACTGTAGCTCACACTCAGCTGACTGCACTGAACAAGTTGAAACTTGTCACACACTGTTACTAAGGTTCGACTACTGCTCCCCATATTGAAAATCCCTGCCTTTCCATTAGGTGGCACTCGGTGTCAGCATTCACATTATTTGTCGATCACACCTAATAATATTTCATAATAATATAAACACAGTTCATTTTCTACTGAGGTAGGATTTTGATGAACGGAGGACTATCTTCTTTTTCCTGATGTTTATAAATTCATTGTAAATCAGTTTCAAAATGTTTTAGGGTTGGGTGGAGTAATAATACTTGTTACCAACAATTCTTGTAAAATCTTGTGAGATCTGCAGGATCTCTTCTCAGTGGAGACCAATATTGCAAGAAACAATGTTACTTCCCTTGATGAGTGGAATAAAATTCAATGATTTGGGACTGTTACAAAGTTTGATGTGACCAGAAGA